ACAATTTGATGCATCCATTCAATGTTGGTTTAAATAATGCTCGAGTTGGAATTATTCCAGTTGCTGGATCACCGGACTTTGTGTTTTCTACCATCGTTGGATTGAATGGAATCACTAACCAATTTATTTTGAACACCTACCTCTCTCAAACATACAGTGATTTCCAAGATTTCAACCATACTGGTCAATACTTGAACAAGTTCGTTTATACATGCATCTTTTCATCTCAATGTATCTAATCGCAAACGTTTTCCATATAATTCTCCTTACAGCGCTCTTACCTTCTCCGTCAGTGATAACTACCGCACAGTTGACAACGGATTCCGTCCTAATATTACAAATCATGTTCTGATTTACGTGACTACCACCACTGAGTAATTATTGTGGTGTTAATCCTCATTCATCTCTCTGCTTCAGCTTCTCTGATAAGCCAGAAACGCTTGACATCTTGTCCAACAATTTGTATGGCGTCATTACTGTCGGTTATGGACCTGGAATAAAGGATATCGGAGCTCTTCAAGTTAGTTTACACAAATTAAACGAATGATGAATCTACAACCGCTCAACACGTCAGCATAAAAGAAAATTGATTACAAATTAGCATATAATGGTATTAAGTCGCTTCCTTAGTCCATCACAATTGAATATGCTAATGAAGCATGTTGGCATAACACATGTCAAAATGTTGTAAAATTGTAAAAGCATTAATCATTATAGAAATTGGCTGGTGGTACTGGTTGTGCATTCAATGCTCCTGATAAGACAACGTTATTGAACAAGTTGGTACCTGTCGTTCAAGATCTTGTATTAACTTCAGCGTAAGTTTTATCTTTTTTCTTCTTTTCTATCTTTTCGCTCTACTTAAACACTTCTTTTACATGAAATTTTTGGACAAACACATACAACAAAAACTTTTTTTGTTATTTCTTTTTTTTTTTTCAAAAATGTTTACATTTCAGAAACAATGGAGGCGTTTATTGTGGTAACTAGAGGTGAAACGAAAAATTCTTTTTTCAGCTCAAACCTCTAAGGCTTACTTCTAACATCTTACTTTGTGTTATGTAGAAAAGACGATGAAGATAATTAATAAAATAAAACGAAATAGTTTTTATAAATTTAATTCGAATACTCACTTTCTGTTGCTAACATCCTGAAGAAACAAATAGGCGTTGTCGTCTCTCTGCTCTGC